GACAATACAATGGTCAGGGTCTTATGTAACAAGAAGACACCTTAGAGGAACATCTTCATGTGGTTTCTCATTGTGGTGGCCACATTTTGAATAATCAAGCCATGACAGGGGTGTGCCATAGCTTTCTATTAAATGCAAATGGAACATAAGGTGGGTTGTTGGGGTGCTTTACAAACTGCACACTATCAGCAAGTTCGCAGGTAATGGCAAGCTCTGTCACATTCCCACCATGCTCAAGTATTCAAAATGGTGACAGCTACTGCAAAGAGAGGCCACACAGGTGTCTTCCCCCACAGTGACTTGTTACGTGCGAACTAGGTCAAAAACACATTAGGTTCTTGTTACCTGGGAGGAAGAATGGCTGTTAGCTTAAGAAGATGCAGGCATAAGCCCTTGCCTTCATTCTGTTACTACTTGGAAGACTATGCAAAGGAGACATTGCACTTTGAAGAGACTGGGTAGGATATAAATAGCTAGGGACCACATACCTTTCATCTTGCCAGCTCTCTACATATGTAGTTACTGTTAGTAGTCACCTGTATCTTGTATGTATCTGTGCATAAGCTCATTGTGAAGTGGAATTTCCTCTTGTCAGTAGAAATGTCTCCTCCTTCATCCCACCAAACTGAAAATTTATTTCATCATTGGAAGAAAGACCTGTGAAAGCTAATTGTAAAAGAGTGAAAGGTAGTGTTGTCAATTTAAAAAAATGGGGTGGTCTCTCTGTCTTAGACAAATAAATGTTCTCCAAACTTGTTTGTTTTTATTTTCAAATGCTCTTCACCCTTAAAGGCTAGGAAATTACTTCAGTGGAGACCAGATAATACAACTGTTTTTCAAGAATTTCTTCTCAGAATTTCCTAGCTTTGCTATGATATATATGAAATTTAGGCACAAGACCTATTTCCTGTTTGTTTATTTTTATTTTATTTATTTATTTTTTAATTTATATCCTGCCTTTTTCCCACAAAGGGCTCAAGGCAGCTTACGTCATTTTCCTCCTCCATCTTATCCCCACAACAACGACCCTGTGAGGTAGGTTGGGCTGAGAGTCTGTGACTGGCCCAAAGTCACCCAGTTGGCTCCATGGCCGAGCGGGGACTCGAACCCAGATCGCCTGAGTCCCAGTCCCACGCTCTTAACCACTACACCACACTGGCTCTGTTTGTTGTACTCCAGTTGAACTCTCATTTCTAAGGTTTCTATTTTAAGGGCTGATTTTGTTGTTTTATGTGGCAGCTACCATATCAGTTTTTGAAATGGTCATATGTATATTTTATTTTTACTGTAAAACTTGTTTTGTGAATGCATGATTAGGTCATGGTGAGTGATGACAAGGTTGAGGCAGAAACATCTATTATATTCCTCCTCCATTAGTTTCCCAGCCATGAAATTTGCATTTATTTCCCAGTTTTTTTAAATGTGTAGATTGGGCCATTACAACACCCAAATCCTTAGATGTGGCAGAAGAGGATGGAGCAAATGGGGTGCCAGTGCCAGAGGGACTCGCACGCACATCCTGCTCAGTGGAGCCCTATTCACATCATCACATCCAGCCACCTTTGAAGCAATGCCAGATCTGAAATCACAGATTGAAGTTGACTTCAGATTCTATTTGTTCTGAACTTGAGAACCATGGTTTCCAGTTTGGACATAATGGGAAACTGTGGTTAATTAACCGAGAGACATGAAGTCTTCAGTCATACTGTCCAAGAAAAGACGAGGAAAGGGACAGTAAGCCAGTGTCTAAACTGGACCACGGACTGCCATATTCTCTTGAGATCCAAATCACTGGTACAGTTCTTTTCTGTTCTTTATCCCAGTTCCTAAATCCTAGAACAGTAGAGGTGGAAGGGGACCTAAAAAGCACTATTCCAAATTAAAGCAGTTACAAAAGGTGGCTGCCCAGCTGCCTCTTGAATGCCTTGAGTGTGGTCATTGGTTTCATTGCCTTACTGCTCTAACTGTCAAGAAGTCTTTCCTGATGTCCAGTCAGAATCTGGCTTCCTATAACTTAAGCCCATTATTCATGTCCTGCATTCTGGGTTGATCAAGAAGACATCCTGCTCTGTGTGACAAACTTTCAAGTATTTGAAAGGTGCTATTATATCTCCCTGCAGTCTTCTCTTCTCATGGTTAAACATGCCGAATTCTTTCAATTTCTGCTCATAGGGCCTTGTTTCCAGTTACCTGATCGCCTGTGTTGCCCTCCTCTAAACCTTTTCCAGTTTGTCAGCACTTTCCTTGAAGTGTAGTACCCAGGACACAATATTCAAGATGGGTAATGCTGAATAGAGGGAAACATACCTCACATGATGTGGAAGTTACGATTCTATTAATGCAGTCTAATATAGCATTTGCTTTTATTGCAGCCAAATCACATGGTTGACTAATATTCAACCTGTGATCTTTAATTATTCCAAGATCCTTCTCATTTGTAGTGTTGTTGAGCTAAGTATCTCCTATCTTGTAACTTGCATTGGGTTCACTTTTCCTATGTGTGGAACTTGGCATTTAGGTTCATTCTGTTGCTCTCAGCCCACTCCTCCAACCTATCAAGATCACTTTGAATTTTGTTTCTTTCTTCCAGGGTTAGCTGTCCCACCCAATTTAGTATTACCTGTAAATCTGATTGCATTTCTTGTACCACTTCAACCAAGTCATTAAGAAAAATATTGAAGAGTACTGGACCCAGGACTGAACCCTGTGGTACTCCACTCATTAATGCTCCCCAGTCTGAGAAGATTCCATTTTCATCCCACCTTTCAATAAAATATTGTCAAGGTCACCCACAACACGTATTGAAAATAACAAGCACCCCAACAATTAAAGAAAACTGTATTTTTTAGCATACACAAACCCCTTGAGATTGGTAAAACAGATTTTCATTTCATTTCATTTTGTACATCCAGGAAAGGGCAATCAGTTTTTCCCCGAAAGCCATTGTCATTATTCCAGCACCTCCTATCAAAATGCCCCTACCTCCATTAGCCATCCACCTCAACACAAATAGTGGAGGCACTTAGAGATGAGCCTCTGATAAATATCACAATAACTGGGCAGATGCATATAGAAGGCAGTCCTTGGTCCTGTGTGTTTGAAGGTACACATCTACACACATATCTGGAAGTATTAGCCTATTGTACACAGTGCGATTAATTGCTGAATAAATGCACTTATGGTTGTACTGATGCTTTTAAAAGCTTAACAATTGTGCTTGGAGGTAAATGAATTGCCAGGGAAGCTTAATTAGCAGTGGTAAAATACGCTCGTTTTTAGGTTGATCCACATGGTCTTGAAAAGCAGTGCTACTACATAAAATGCATTCCAGTAATCTGAGTTGGATGTGAAAAGAGTTTTTTTCCCTGAAAGGGTTGCAGCTGATGTACCAAAGGTGGTTGAAGGAGCTTTGTGTTCATCTGCCAAATCAAATGTAATAGTACTCCCAAGCTGCCGAGATGATCCTTTGGCAGAATGGATGTGAGCCTCCCTGAGGCTTCAGCGAATGGGGCGGCATAGAAGTCTCCTAAATAAATAAATAGACAAACCCCATTCAGAATAGGATGAACCTCCATTTCTGGCCCATTCATGGTCTTATCACCTTCTAACACTACCTTGTTTACCTGAATTGAGCTTCAGTTTATTGCAAGGGTAGGTAACCTGGTACAACACCCAGCAGCCCTAACCAATATAGAAAATGTAAAGGATTGTGAGAGTTGTTGTTTAAAACATCTGGAGGGCACCAAGTTGCCTGTCCCTGGTTACTGAGTCTCATCTAGTCTTAGTATAGTTCTGTCTGGTTATGTAATCTAATTTTGCTGTGTATTCTTTCAAGCAGCAAACACCACCTCTGCTACTCACTGTACTTGTGCACCAGTGTCCTGCTGTTTCATGAACCTTTGAATGAATCAGTTCTTTAAATACTGTACTTTCACAGTACCAAAGTGTAGTTGCTACAGCCCC